GAAAGAAAGAAAGAAAGAAAGAAAGAAAGAAAGAAAGAAAGAAAGAAAGAAAGAAAGAAAGAAAGAAAGAAAGAAAGAAAGAAAGAAAGAAAGTGTTGCTTCTTAATGTTCCAAACATTATTTTTAAAGAATCAGAAAAGTGCCGTCCGCTCATCTTGCAAAGTAAACCTGATTGATAAGAAGACACTGTTTCTCCAGCGGACAAGCATTAGCCCTGTTTTTTTTTATTTCCTGATCATTTTTTCCTCCTGTTTCTTTGTTTGTCTGTGTTTCTTTTCAATTTGCAGTCCAGCTTCAGTTTATTCTCACATTCTTTTCACTATGTGTTCGGTCCTCACCTCATCGTTTTCTCAATTTAAGACTTGGCTGTATTAATGACTTTTTTGGGGGTGTTATCTCTTTTTTTTCCACCTTGCAGCAAGATCTCCAGGTGAGCAAGAGTGATTTAGGAAGAAATTTCTATATCACTCTTCCTTTTATTTTATTTTATTTTTTTTTTTGTTTTTTTTTTTTTAAGAAGTGTCATTTTTTCTGTTTTTCATCTACAGTCGGTGCTGTTTTTACCCTACTAAACTATGTCTCTCTTTTTATGTACACAATTTTTGTTTCATCATTAAACTTGTCCTTTATGGAAACTGTTTATTATATGTTGATATCTTCTTTAACACAACTAACAGGTTACCTTCACACTACAGGTCATAATTCTTAATTCTGATGCTTCATAGCTGATAACATCTGGACCTCAAAGCTTTAAACTAAATATCATTAATACTGATAATATCACATGTACGTCTACTTCCATGTAAATGTTGGATGATTTGCTACATGACTATTTCGACTGCTTTGAAAATTTGGCTGTGTAGCAGATTTTGTGCCCCACTTTAAAAATACCTGGGTCGAATTTCAAGAACATCATTACTGTCACTCCCAGAATGTCATAAAAACATTTAATTTGGGAAACATATGCGGAAAATATATATAAATTTGAGTCACTTTTGCCTGCAGTGTGAATGAGCCTTTGTCTTTGTGTTGTGATGTGGCGAACAGTCATGGGCCTATGTCCCCTAACACCAAAATACACCAAATATTTACTCACTGAAAGTTTTATTCAGTGTCTTCTTTGCTTCTTTTCTTTTCCTTTTCCAGCCAGGTCACCAGGTGAGCCTTTAAAATAATCTTTATCATCTGTATGCAGCATGCAATCTCTTCAAAACACTCCTGTTGCTGCCCCCCTCCCCCCAGTTACTTTCCTAACCTTCTCTCCATCTACTCTCCAGCCCCCCTGGACCAGCCCTCCTGCCGCGCCCTGTATGACTTCGACCCCGAGAACGAAGGCGAGCTAGGCTTCAAGGAGGGCGACATCATCACCCTGACCAATAAGATTGATGAGAACTGGTACGAGGGGATGCTGCACGGCAACTCGGGCTTCTTCCCCATCAACTACGTGGACATCCTGGTGCCTCTGCCCCAGTAAGACGTCGCAGACGCACAAGCCGGGCCCGTGATGTACCCCCGGCCTTTTCCAAGTTCCACAGTATTCCCACTGAGCTATTCCTGAAAAAAAATCCCACTAATGTCCTTCACTTCTCTTTAAAGATTTGAAACAGCAACAACACAAAAACAAAAAGACGTGAACAAGGTGTTAAAGTGCGATTGTGCGCTAAGTGAGTGTAGAAACGTGTTTTGAAAATAAGGAAAAATCTTTTTGCCTCACCTTATCCCAGGAGGCCCTGTAGTCATTCCTGTTCCTGCTTTCGTCTCGGTTTTCGTCTGCTGTCAGTCCGTCATGAGTTGACCATCAGAGCAACACTTTGACTCATTGTTTGTCAAAATACAGTAGCTAGAAGCTTTTCTCCCACGACTCGCATCCTTTTTATGCTCATTAAGAAACTTTAGGTCAAGCATGTAGTTTAGGCGCTTCTTTTCTTCTGTTTTTGTTTTGACAATGTAGTGATAATTTTTTGTTTTTGTTTTGTTTTGGTAAATCATGTTCTGACATGTTCAGGCTTGAGTTCCAATCCTGCCCTAAACCATTAGTTTGGAGTTTTAGATAAAATTCCTCTCATGTTTGAATATTGTTATGTTTATTTATCACACAGCGAAATGTGCCAGATTATTGATTTAAAATATATATATGTATGAAACTTTTCAGTTTCTTATGTAACAGTACATATCTGAACACGTTAGGTGATTTAACAGACAAATTGGGTAGATTAAATTGCTTTAAGTGTTTTTAAGGAATAAAATTTAGTCCTTCAGCAAGAAACCTGGCTTGACAGAGCAACACTTGCTGTTTCATTTATTATCCTACAGCTCAGCTGTATGCGTCACTAAGAAGGCGTGGAAGGAGGGAAATAAATTTAAAAAATGATCGAGCAGATTGATAATGGATGCTCTATGTGTGTGGATTTTTTTTTTATCATTTGAAATGATGCAACTCACATGAAAAGCTTGATGCTTTGTGGTTATACAGATAAAAAAATGTTACCAAAATATCAAATAAAAAAACTTATTCATGTGCAATACTTTATTTCCTGGTTGCACTAAAAATCTAATTGTGTTGTTTTAATCAGCTCGGGGCCTCGGCACGCTCGTCATCCTCGAGGCTTTGTTCTCTGCTGCAGTGATGACGTATTAATCGATCAGCGCAGCAGCAACGCTTTGTGATCTGCATGTGTTTCAGGGGTCAGGAGGTGCGTGGTAGGGGGGCTTCTGTTCAGAATCGGGGTTTCAGACGAACTCCTCGGCTGCTGAGGTGTTTCAGATTTTCTGTCTCGGACAGTGTTCACCATCAGAACTAACGTCACAGAACCACTTCACTACCTTCAGCTACAATAAGAGATGCAAAACTAACCGATGATGTGTTAAGTGTTACTTTTATTTGTGGAAAGGGAAGCACAACTCTAACGGACGGTGTTTCTTTGTTGACTACGTTATAGTGATGCAGTGTGAGCAGGTTATGTATTTCTTTATTTTTAAGGCAAAATAAATTCTACCTTTTTTTCTTTCTTTCACTTTTTTATTTTATTGTGTGCATCTTTGCCCTCAATGAGGACTGTACAGCTTTTTTTGTGTGTGTTTTATTTTCACCTTGTGTGTATAGTCGCGCATCTACAGTAACGTATCTTATTTTTGTAACTGTGACTAAAGTATACACATCCAGTATAGGTGTATATATAAATATATATACAGTATGTATAACCCAGAAGTAATGTTATAGGAGGGGTTTGTTGTGCTGCACATGATTGTCTGAACTATTTTGTGTTTTGTTTCTGTTTGACTTGATTCTTGCACTGGATTAAACAAATGTCTGCTTGATGTAAACATAAAGAAAATGTGATGAGTTATTGTAATTTATTCAAATAAATGCAGAGAAATGATCTTGCCTTTGTCAGCTGTTTTGTTTTTAAGAGGAGACACTGCAGAGAATATCAAATGTCTGACCCTCTTTGAAGGAAAGCATAGAAAAACATCACACTTTCACTTTCAGCACTGGATGATAATTAGTGCAGGATTTATCTCTATTGTTTCAGTCTATTCAACAATATTAAAGTCAAAGCTGAAGCTTTAAACGTAATCATAGTCTCCAAAAATGTTAAAACTATGTGGCTGTAAATGAGTTACAAGACAATGTTTTCAGGTCTGTGCAAAGACTTTGCAACTTTTAAAACTGACATGAGTTTTCAGTGTAATTGGGGGAAATACATGTATTATTAATATTATATGCACTGAAAAAGAACTACAGTATACCTATAATAATTAATGTTTGTAAGAAGATACAGTAAACGTTAATGTTAGTTTGATAAACCATTTAAAGCTCAGACAGCTCAGACTTATGGAAGAAGATTAGGGCCACAGAGCAAAAATATTTAAATATTTTTCTAAAATCTGACTTTAATCTCAAAATTCTGAGGAAAAAGTCAGAACTCAGAAAAAATTGTTATTTTTTCTTGTGCAAGTGAGAGTTAGTGCAAAATTTATATGAACCATCATTATCTTACCTGCTGCAGATGGATCTTTGAACAAGTTTGAAGAAACAGTGTAATTCTGATCAGATTAACAAGCTAATGGCTAGTCTGAGAAAGTCTAATTTAAATGGATTTCTTCCAAATTAAAACAACTCCAATCAAATGTTTTGCAGCTGTTTTATGCAAACCCTGTTTTTTTTAACCCTTTACACCATCATCGATATCAGTTACACCATGTTTTTACATAAAAGTAGGTACAGATGGTGGCAGCAGGTAGCTGGAGCTAAATCTAAACCTCACCATGTGTGCTGATGTTTTTACCTAAAAGAGCAGGTTGAACTAATTGCGTTCCTTGTTGAACAAGCTAAAGCTTTTTTTCTGCCAGGTTTGACCATTTGTTGTCTCAGTTAGGTACATTTTTATTCCTTCAACAGGACTGAAATAATGCAAATCTGTTAAAAAAAATCCAAGTTCAGTTTTATTTATTTTTTTCAATATCTAACTTATGTTGTGTGAATCGAAACGTTCATGAGAACACATTTACCAAAAAAATTGTTTGTTAGGAAAAAAATCAGCTTTGTGGATAGTTAGGTCCAAATATGTTAAAAGACAATAATCTAACTGCGTCATCCTAAAAGAAAGCAATAAAAGTTTATGAATTTTTAATCCCCAATTTTTACTTTATGTTTGTCCTCCAAGTTGTTTTTTGTGTGCAAAAAAGACTTGAAAGGTTCACAAATATCTGATAAGACAGCAGCTCGCTGTATGACAGCTCACATCAGTGAGGACTTCAGGTCTCCACCCCTTATCTCTCAGCACCATCAGGCTACACCCTCTTGTTCATGCACTCAGCTTAACCCCTCACACATTAACAAACACACACTAACAAACACACACTAACAAACTCACGCCGTCAGCACTGTGCACCACTCATCCTGCACGGGAGGTGTCCAGCTGAGGCTGCTGCTGCTGCACATCCTCCAGGTCTTTGGATCAGCATCAGAGCGTGTCACCCCGGCCATCACGCAGCCTGATCACAGCAAACATGGACTCTGCCTTCGGTTTGTTTGACCTGGTTCCTGTGGGATGAGTCTTTAAACATTTATGTAAACCAAAAATACAGTAACTGGCGCGGCGATATGTGTACAGGTGGATAATGTGGATAAAGGGCGTTTCCTACTCGGCATTGTTTGCAAAACCTTGACAGGTCCTGGATCTGTTGGATTCTCACCCCGCTGCTCACTGGGACCGCATGTTCATCTCCAACCTGTGCTGCTGGGATGGTTCAGCTGCTCTGCAGGGACAGACCACACAAATCTTGAATTTGATTGACTAAAAAAGTTCAGTGGTTATACATATCCATTCATTACTTTATAGTACTCACATGTATTGTGTTTTTTTCTCCATTATTTCACTCTATATACAGCACTTACACCAACTGGGTTTTAGTGTTTTACCCACTAAAGCTGAGGATCAAACCTCCAACCCTCCTAACACTGAACCAAACAATAAAAATGCTCAAAAGAAATGCTAAAATCAGAAACAAATAATCAAGTAATTGTAAAGTACACTCAACTTCAAAGAATCTCAAATCCTACTTCTAACCTACAAAGCTCTCAACAACCAAGCTCAGTTTTATATTAAAGATTTTATTGTTCCATATTTTCCTAACAGAGCACTTCACTCTCAGACTGCAGGTTTACTTGTGGTTCCTATAATCTCTAAAAGTAGAATGGGAGGCAGAGCTTTCAGTTATCAAGCTCCTCTCTTGTGGAACCAACTTCCAGTTTCTGTCCATGAGGCTGACACTCTGTCTACTTTTAAGATCAGACTGAAGACGTTCCTTTTTGATAAATCATATAGTTAGACTTAATTTCCTAAGTTATTCCTTGGTTCTGATGCTACAGGCTTAGACTGCTGGAGCACAAACTGAGCACATTTCCTCACTCTGCTGCTATAGTCACTCTCCTCTACACGTTTGTAAAGCAGAGTGATTATTTCTATCAATATATGTTATTGATAGAAATATGGTTATGAATAGAATAGAATAGAATAGAATAGAATAGAATAGAATAGAATAGAATAGAATAGAATAGAATAGAATAGAATAGAATAGAATAGAANAATAGAATAGAATAGAATAGAATAGAATAGAATAGAATAGAATAGAATAGAATAGAATAGAATTAATTGAGCTGAGTTGAGCGGGGTTCACCCTGGACAGGTCACACAGGGCTGAATAGAAAATACATTCCAAACTTCTTCTGAACATCTAAAAGCAAAACTATGCATTTCCTTATTTACCTGAAACTAATCCAGCTGTGTTGGCACACAGTCCACCATACTTTTAGTGTCTACTGCTCTGCTCTGTTGCACCTATTTACAAAATGAACAGGCACAAAAAGAGTTGACTAACATTCTTTAAGAACAGTTTGTCAGTGGTGTGTTACCAGATCAGGTTTGTGTGGGATGAGGAAATGCATGTAACAATGATGGGAAGAAATATGAGCTCTCTGGAACTTGTTTTCTGACTCATTTTTGTTTATTTCATTTGCACCTCACCGTATCAGGTCCAACCTTTTCTGAGCAAATATCTTTATTTTCTTTCCTTCCTGATGAGTGAAAAAGGATGTTCTACAGGCAGCTACTTCAAACTGCACCTTCCTTTGTTCAGAAATCTGTCTATGTCATTATTTTAGTCCGACAACCCGAGGTGGGATGTTAGTTATTTCTGTAGCCTAAAGAAGGGATCAAGGGTGAGAATTAAGAGTCAACTATTTTTTTATAAAAATGTTATTGTTCATGCTAGTGGAGATTCTTAGTCATTCAGGTCATAAGAAATAGCAAACAAAATGACATCTTCTGCTCTGGAGCTGAAGATATTTATTTAACATCCAGGGAGATTTCTCAAATCTAAACTTGAGAGTATGGAGCTCTGAGCTTTAGGACAAATTTAAACAACTATTTTTAGGTGAACTTGTTACATAATCATCATGAAACCCCACATCCGCACTATGGACAGCTGCAAACAATAGTTTTTCTGCGCATGCTTGAATAGATGAACAGTTGTATAAAGTACCACAAAGTGATACTTGAGTAAACTTGAGCTACTTGAGCCGGGGCGGCTGTGGTAGAGTGGTTAGGGGAGTTGTCCTGAAACTGGAAGGTCGCTGGTTCGATCCCCATCCAGTCAACTCAGTACTTGTGGGCAACACACCTTACCCGCCTTGCCCACTGATGGTGGTCAGAGGGTCCGGTGGCACCTGTGTATGGCAGCCTCGCCTCTGTCAGTGTGCTCCAGGGCAGCTGTGGCTACAATGTAGTTTGCCATCATCAGTGTGTGAATGTGTGTGTGCACGGGTGAATGTCTGCTGTGTGAAGCACTTTGAGGATAGAAAGGCACCATACAAGTACAGTCCATTTACCATTTAAAAGTACAAGTATCTTACCAAGAAATTACTTTGGTTAAAGTCTCCTTTAGGAATATTACTTGAGTACAAGTCTTAAAGTTTCTGATATTTTTGTACTTAAGTATTAAAAGTAAAGTATTTATTTAAAATGAGCAATTGAATTTTCTGTAATGACATTTATTAGGAGTTGACCTCCCCCAGAAATGACTATATCATATTAAAATAATTTATTTATGTTAAATTTAGAATGCACTAGTCCAACTGTTTCAGTTTATATCCATATATCAAGGCTGCACAAACCTTTTCTCCTATATGAAAATCTATCTGAGGACTGCGGCCAAATGCAATAATATATTTCATGAAATACAAATACTTTTTCAGTACAGTCCTTTTATTTTAATGATTATGTCCTGCTGGAGTGTGACATGATTTGTTTGTGTACAAACTAATACGGTATCAGAATTTTGTATATTTATACTTCTCATTCAACCACAATTAAATTTACTCTAAGGGGCACAATTTATATGGATAGTATTTATTTTTTACAATAACAAGCTGAAATGAAAACAAGCAAAAATGAAATAAAAGTAATAACTTTCTACTTCTTGCCTTTGTTAAAAATGTAAGGAGTAGAGAGTATAGATAATTGTGTGAAAATGTAGGGAATAGAAGTAAAAAGTAGGCTGAAAAACAATTACTCAAGTAAAGTGCAGATACCAAAAAATTCTATTTAAGTACAGTAACAAAGTATTTGTACTTAGTTACTTTACAACTATGAGAAAACTTAATTATCCACTGGGTGATAGTTTTCTTGTAACAGAGTCTCTGAAAGATGGCCGTCAAAGGCAATCAGCCTTCAGCAAACACAACACTGGCGATAGCTGTCAGTTTTCTGGATAGTGAGCTAAAATTTGCATGAGGCTGCTTAAAACATCATTCGCAAACTTTGACCAAAATAGCTATAAGTTTATCACTTCTCATCATAAAACCCTCGGTTAATAAC